TGGGAGGACGAAGTTCATTTTTTTATTATGTACAAAAATTCCTGCTTTGGAAAGTAGTGAGTTCTCTGACACTGATGGTTTGTGACAGGAGGCTGGACCAGTTGGCAGGACACTGTGAAGGTAATTCAGGCCTCAGAAAGGGGACTAGATGAAATTTAAGATCGCTTCCAAGCTTGAGAGCCTGGAACGCTATGAAACACAAGCTCTGGGAGCTGAGATATATCCTAACTTACCCAGCTGAGCTGTGAGGTGTGAGTGGCTCTAACATTTTATAATTTTTTTCTGAGGACCTCAGATTAAACCTCCCCTTTGCCTAAAAGCATCTGCCTGCTGGTGCGGACCTTTGAGGACCCTCACAGCGCACTGAGGTTGAAGTCCTGCAAGGGAGAAACTCTTATCTAACAAGTAGTTGGGCGAGTTTACAGCTCTCTTTAATCTGAGAGTATAGTCCAGGGTGGTTTGATGAAAGAAGGTAAACTGTGGGTGGGCGTGGCTTGAGGTACCAATAGAAGCCCACGGAAATCTGGGGAAAGGCAGGGCTTTTCTGATATCTCCCAGTTAGAGGATTAGGCAATTGGCAGCGCAGGGCGGTAACTCAGGGCGGGGCTGGGCTCCAGGGCTGAACAGGGCAGTCCCTCTGAGCTGCAGGGAGACCTCTCAGGCCCCGGGAACTGTCGTCCTTCCACGATGTGGCTCCGTGCTCTTGTCCTGGCCACTCTCGCTGCTTTCACGGCTTGGGGTGAGTCCTTCTGAAATCAAATATGCGGGGCACTTTTTGAAATCCTTGTTCTGGGCCGAGGTGGAGGTAGATGTCTAGAAAGTCAAACACACAACAGGTCTGGCTCGGCGACTGTGCGCGCCCTCAGTACCTGGACTTGGACTTGGAGCAGCTGAGCCGGACCAGCCCGGTCCGCGCGGAGATGCAGGAAGGGTCAACATCCTGAGACCGCCCTGCACTGCTCGCCCCCATGCAGGCCGCATCTGGCCTACCTCACGCGTCACACACAAGAAATTTAGGCAGCTCAGTTTACTGTCCCTTAATTAGTCCCGTTATCGCTGGATCACGGAGAGCGGCTCAGCAGAATATTCAGAGCATCGTCTCTGTACCACAGTGCGTGGGTTTGAGTTCCCACTGGGGCTTCACAGCTGTGTGTCCTTAGGCAAGGGACTGAGCCTTTCCGTACTTGGGTTACCCACTCTCTGAAATAGAGGTGGCAGTGCTACCTACCTCATTGGGTTGTGGTGAGGACGAAATGAGCCCTTGTTTTTAAAGTACTCTTGGCAGCGCCTGGTATGTAGAAAGCACGAAAAAGGGGTAGAGAAATATAAAGGCCTTGTTTTAAAATGCAGTGTATGAACAGAAAATTTGAGCAGTGGTCAGGCCACTATATCAGGACCTCTTGCCATTAAAAAGACAGTTTCTTACTCATGATCTCAAAAGGAGGAGGACACCAGTGTGGGGGGCACAAGGGGAAGCAGCAAAGCATGGGGAGGGGACAGGGCGGATCTCAGGCCAAGGGGCTTTTACTGTGGCTTCCAAGGATAGAAGAGGAAAGGCACGACAGGCAGGCTGAAGATTGGAGAGTTGGGATAATTCAAGAGGCTCTCGGGCACAGGGGTTCTTCCTGGTTGTCTGTACCTAACCCTGGCGTGATTAGGGCAGGTGGGTAGCGGCCAGGGCGTGGCCACCTGATCAAAGAGGCAGTTGGGATGTGGGCTCCGGGGTGGCTGGACTCTGGGAGGGACAGTTTCTCCAAGGTCAACAAGGCCTCAGATGCCAGAGCATCAGAATACAGAAAGCAAAAGACATGGTACATACAGGGGTGCAGGGAGGGGCCTGGAAATGCCCCCGTGCCATTTTATAGACGGAAAATCAGAGACTCACACAGGGAAATGTACTTGCCCAAGGTCAACCCGAAAATCATGCCTGGGTCTGTCTCTGGGTCCTGAATCCTGACAGCCCAGGCCCCGTCTGCATCCTATCTTCCTTCTGGCAGCCTGACAGTGTGAGAGCTCTGGAACTGTGGGGAAGGGCAGAGGAAGAGAGGAACCCTATTTGAAACTGAATGTTCCTTTACCTCTGATTACTCCTGGCAATGCCGTCCATTTCCTTC